CCCGGCGGCCCCGTCTCTGCAGCTGCACCCCCGCCGCCCGCGGGCGGCTGCTTGGCGTCCTGCCCTCCCAGTCCCTAGTGAACGGTCCCGGTTCCACTGCCCTGGGCCCTCCTGCCCGGAGAGGTGGACGTGGGCCGTGGCAAGTCGATGGCAGAGCTTCTGAAGCCAGGCGCCCGTCACTATGACTTAGTCGTCGCCCTCGAGGAGGGGTCCAAGTCCCACGTCTCCCTCTGAGCCGTAGACACTTGCAGGCGGCGTGCTGAGGCACACCAGTAACCCTAGCCTGGACTCCATAGTGAGACCCTGCGGCCTTCAGAGCCCGCCCTGCCCAACGCCCGGCGCGGCGCCCTCCGCGCGCCCCTGGACTCCATCCGTCTCCCCCATGCGGACCCTTCCCTCTCCGGGCCGCGCTCTGCTTCCTTGGGTCAGAGCTGCTCTCCCGGCCCCGGGGCCCGGAAACCACCTGCTGCCACCAGAGGGCGCGCGCGCCCCCGGGCTTCGGTTTCAACTGCGGGCTGCTGCTCAACCGGGGGCCGGTCGGGTGGGTAAACGGAGGAAGAGGAAGGATCCCCCATTCAGGGCTCTCGGGAGCCCCGCTGGGTAGAGGGTGAGAGGGTAGTCTCCGGACCTGGTGCCTAACGCCCGGGGAGATGTTTGGGCTCCGCCTGACCGGCGGGCCTCCTTGCGCCCACCCCTCTCCGCCCTCTGTCCCCAGCACGGCGGAGGCGGCCGCCCTGGAGCGGGAGCTGCTGGAGGATTACCGCTTCGGGCGGCAGCAGCTGGTGGAGCTCTGCGGTCACGCTAGCGCCGTGGCTGTGACCAAGGTACCTGATCCCCCGGAGCCAGGACGTCACCTCACCCCTGGGGCCCGGACGGCCCAGCCTTCACTATGGGGAAACTGAGGCACAGGGGCGGGGACTGCCCAAGGTCACGTTGGAAGCAGAGCTGTAATCTGGGTGCGTCCAGCTCTCGGAGGATGGGAGAAGAGTGTAATGAGGTCCCTCTCCAGGGCCTGCCGTGTGGGTCCCCTCGGAGGAAAGCCAATAAATCTCACAACTGCAACGCCCAGCACAAGCCTGGCACCTTCCCCCAGGTCTCCCTCCCTCCCACTCCCTTTCCTTCTTTTTGTTTTTTCCTAGCCCCTGTAGCCCTTTAAAAGCAGCCCTGTCTGTCTGTACCTGGACTGAACTTTTATGTTCTTAAGTGCGTTCCCGAGTGGAGCGCGTCCTGGTTAGGGTGTCAGAGGACAGGAACCAGCGACACTCGGCCACCAAGAGAGCCCAGCATGGTTGGTCCCGCCCGGCACGGGTCATTGTACTCCTGGACTGGGCCAGCCCGTGTGGCTGGGTCACAGGCCTGTTCCTGGCTAGGGGGACCCAGGTGACACCTTGGGGAGGAGTCTGGAAAAGGGACTCATTGCCCAGGATGATGGGCTTCATGGTGCCTCTGCCCGCTCTATTTGCTGGAGGCAAAACAGGCTGGAGAGGAGGGGCCTGGGGCTGGGACTCAGAAGCTGGAAAGAGAGACGCCAGAAGGATGGTTCACACTTGTCAACAGGCGCTCAGGAGTCTGAGGTGGGAGGGTCAGAAGCTTGAGGCCAGTCTGGGCAACTTATCAAGACCCTGTCCCAAAATACAAAGGGCTGGGGATGCAGCTCAATGCTCGCTAGACAGTAACATAACACAAAAAAGAAAAAGACAGTCATGTGCCAGCAGAGATGAGCACTAGCGGAGAGACAGGCTTGGGGATGGTGGGGTGGAGCTGCCTCCCTCTTCCAACTCGCCCCCTCTGGGCTGGAAACACGGGCGGGAGGGGCGGGCACCCCTGGAAAAGGTGGACGGATGTCCCGTCTGCGGCTCTGGACCAGGACAAACAAACCGAGCTCCGACTGCGCCTGGGGGCTGGAGGTACATTTTCCACCAGCTCTGGGCAGAGACTGAAACGGACGCTGTACTGGGTGGGGAAACTGAGGTCCCCAAAGCCCAGCCCTTTAGCCAGAGCAGCGCTCTTCCAGTGCTCTTGGCTCCACGCCCAAGCCCCACCCTGTGCCCTTGCTGTCCCAGCAGGTGTTTCCTTTGCCTACCCTCTCCCGGAAGCAGAGGACCGTGCTAGTCGTGTGTGGCCCAGAGCACAATGGGGCGGTGGGGCTGGTCTGTGCCCGGCACCTGCGGGTGTTTGTAAGTAGCAGGGACCCCCCCCCAGGCTCGCCCTGACTACTTCCCCCGTGGCCACGGCCTCTCCTTGTTAGAGTCCCAGGGGACAGGGATGTGGCCTGCCAGGACCCTGCGCTCCTCTCTCCCGCCCCAGGAGTACGAACCCACCATCTTCTACCCCACTCGCTCGCTGGACCTGCTGCACCGCGATCTGACCACGCAGTGCGAGAAGATGGACATCCCCTTCCTGTCCTACCTGCCCGCCGAGGTCCGCTGTGGGTGGGGG